GAGATGCCTGTAATCTCGGCTCTGTTTGTGCATAATCAGCAACTGTTTCTGCGTGAAGCTAGTCTCGTCTAGAATAGACTGATTTCTATCTCCGATCTTAGCGAACATAAGTCTGTTGCAATGTAGCAGCGAACTTCGAATAACTTAAAACACCCGAAAATCTACCTTATACGTGACTGAGTCACGCGTGGCACGGACTCAACCTATTCACCCGTAAACAAATAAACAACCAATCGATTTCCTTTACCGATGGACTTAATCTGCATACATAACAAACACACGTGTTTTACCATAACTTTTATAAATATATATATATACGTTGACAAACCTTTGTTTGCCTGATATGGCTATTGTTACAATGAAGCGCATTGAAGTGGTAAAATTTTCCGTTTGGATGAAAAGTTCTGAGTCATGTTTTGAACGTCAATTATAACATACTGACACGCCCATATTTTTAGAAATGAGAAAGAAATATTCGTCGTAGTTTTAGGACACCCCATTCTTCGCGACAAGCAATATGAGTTACACTGAAATGGAGCTTTAAAAAATTTAAAAGAGAGAGTTAGAGACTCCCCGCTTCTTTAAAACACATATTGCAACAAATATGTACATATTTTTCAACTTATCATGTCTATTGAAGTTACCACAACACATGTTTCGGTCGAACACGTGTTTACTCGGTGTTTATTTAGATCCTCAATTTGACTGGCTATTATATTTATGGAAAACCTGTTCTACAGGTAATTGAAGAAACAACTGGACCGTTTTATCCATTTCTAAAGAAATGGGCGTGTCATAAGATGACAGTAAACACTCTAAAGATAGCTCAAAACGTTCCATTCGAACGGGAAATTTTAACACTTCAATGCGCTTCATTGTATTAATGCGCACAGATAATCTAACCATGGGCAACTGACCAATCGTTGAACGAATAGCAACGTTTGCGCCAAATACATGTTTACATTTTACTTCGAACACGTGGTTCAGGTCAATCTACGATCATGTCAATGGAGTGCAAGATAAAAAAAAATGTTCTTGTGAACAAAATACAAAGAATAGAAGCTATGAAAGATGCCACTGGCATTTTTAATTTGTTGTTAACTAGAAAAAATATGTTTATTAAAGTAGTTTGTGCCATGTTCACTACGGAACACCAGCGCTTCAAGGGTAAGGTAAACGAGCAGCATCTCTTATGCATTTAAAGGATTAAACAAATTTCACATAACTTTACTAGTGATCATGTGTTTTGGCCAGGGAATCCATCTGACAATTATATTCACCAATAGTTCAACAAATGAATTAATACAGAGCAAATCGCGTTGCAGTATGACTTTGAGAAACCTAGACTTCCACGTTTATTTAACACATGAATGGTTTGTCACTGTGTGCATGAAAATAATAGAATTTTAAAAATACTTTTCATTCACGAAGATGGAAAAATGGTCTTTGTGCCTTTTCGATCGCCGTAAGATTTTCCTTTTTTTCAAGCGTAAAATTACTGTAGTATTCTTAGTAACCCATAATGCAGTTCTCATTCAGCTGATTTGTCAGTTAAAGTCATGTTGGTGCCTCATTTGCTAATCTGACGCCAAAAAATATAGTCCCGGTTCCCATGCAAAAATATTTGTCCAAAAAGAAAGAATGAATCGCTTAAACGTCCACATTTGGCCCCCCGATAATTTACAAAAAATAAGTTAGAAGATTTTCTACATATTTTTGTCTCAATCTTTTCATCAAACATTGTAGTTTATTAATTTTATTTTCGATTTTCACTTACATGCACTGTAATTGGGTATTTATCTGATTAATATAGCAGGGGTACGTTGTTTACTTCGATTTCCCATAGACTTTAGGCCACACCCCCATTTTAAAAGCCCATTTTTTATATGAGCGCATAGATGTTTCAAGTTGTACTAAATAGGGTCAATGTAAAGAGTTAAACTTGTCATTTTAATTCATGAAAGAAATTGAAACAGTAGTGCGCTCACATGTTATTTTCCAAAAAGGTGCAAATTCACGGGTATCTGTCCCTATAGTAAAGGCACCTTGTTTACAAATTTCAACCCGCATTTGACCTCATGAATAACAAAGCATTGAACACGTGACTCAAATCTATTCACTCTCATGCTTTGAGCAGATCAATGCGACATCGTGTCCAGTGTTGCGAGCTATCGATGGTCAAATCCTTTTCAAATGGGTAATTAGAATTTAAAGTACCCAGGGATAAAATTTCTTTAAAGCAGTATATTTAAGAATTATAACATTTTTGATTTACTTGTAATTTTAGTCAATTTTTCTTGATTTTTTTTTCGGTATTTATCAATACATTTTGGAGGCTTGTAGCACAAAGCTTGCACTTACTGCTTGTATCTCATTCATACGGGATTCGAAAAATACAGAGGGTATATATATTATCAATTTGCCTTTCTTCTTAAGTATACATGTACATCACATCAGCGTTACGTTCATTGACTCTTAGAAGATGTAAAAAAAAAAAATACGATCGTTATTTGAAAAATACCAATTTATCATATATGTAGAAAATAATGCGTAATTCCAATTAAAGAAACCTTACGGAAAAGAAATTGAAGTGTCAGGCATTAAAAAGATTTATATATCGAAAAAAAAACACATTGCACAAAATGCACCCCTACATGTAATTAAATGGAGAGAAACCCCGGGTTTCATCTGACGACACTACAAATGTTATAATTTTTTACATCGGCACAAAATCTAACAACAATGAAAGATTTAAATATAAATATTATTATGTAACAAAAAAATCGAATGAAAAAGGACGTATTTTTTTAATGATTTTTATTATTTATCTCACTAGAGGACGAGAATTTTTAAGCAATGCAATCTGGACTGTACAAACTACACTTGTCTAACGCTGATGGGTTTTCTAACACTGATGGTTTTTTTTATATCCATGTAGCAGCGATAATATTGACGTTTAACTGACGTTTAATTTTCACTTTCTTGCGAATTTATTTTTCATACACATAATTTTTTATATCACAATTCAAACGTATTTGTTGAAGCACACCATTTTCACAAAATTATATGTGTACATGATATGAAATAATCATTCACGTGAATGTAATATGCTAATTAATCATAAGCTTTAATGGATTGATTAGAATCTCTGAAAAAAAAAAATAAAGTTTTAAGTATGAAAAAGAGTGAATCATGCATTATCCGTTCTATTCACAAATCCCAGTGTGTGTATTTATATATACCCAGTAAATAATTTGACGAATTTCTAATAATAAAGAAATTAAGCCCGACAAATTAAAAAAAAGGATGCTATATGTGCTCGGCCTCTTGCACTATAAAAGGGGCTTTTAGGTGTTATTTCATCATAAAACGTAGTACACTTCGAACACACGCTAATGTATTCATACTAATCGCACGCTTGATAGACGCCCCGCCTTCTCATTCAAATGCTAACTACAATGACCTTTATATAGCCGTAATGGCGAAGTTTTACAGTGAAATATGCGATTTTATTTCTCCGATAATAAATATCATGTATATATTGAAAGTCTCTTTCCTAAAAAATCCTTAATTAGTAACTATACAGACTATACTTGAAGACTTTAGCTATAAGATAACAATGTTCTTATTTAAACGGGTAAAATTCTGCATTTAAAAAGGGGCGAGATTGCAGTGTTAAGAGGATTCATTCTTTATATTCATGATCGCAGAAAATTGTATTATAAAGAATACGTACCGGTATTTAAGTTTGAATGAATTCAAGAGAGATCGATTGAAGTACATTTCTACAGATATTATAGGGTGTTGAAAACTGAAACGCAACATAACTTTTCTGTTTACCATGTCTCCACGTGCTAGTCACTTCCTAGCCATATTTCCGTGAATAATTTACCCTGTCTCGCTGTAGTCTCGGTAACTCTCGCCAGAGCCACTGCCAGAGCTACTCGAACTCCTCGGATTTTATAATTTGCAGAACACCGAAAAATAAAAGGTTCCGAACACATTAGTAGAGTGACAATGACTTTGTCAGCAAATGAAATTTATCATTAGGTCGAATGTTGACTGACGTTTTTCATACTAATCGTTGGGTCATCATACTAATCGTTGGGTCATTTAGATTTTGTACACTCCGAATGTCTGGGGATTTTCATGTTATGCAAAACATGTCAAAGAACATACGTTCGGTGTGACCGGTCGAAAGGGGATCTTGCTCCTCAACGACACTTGATCCCACCTTTGATGTTTTATGAGGTTGGAAAATTTCCTCGTTTTTTTTTTTTTTTTTGCTTGTCAACTTTTACAGGTAAATAAAAAAAAAATTTTCTCTGGACGCCCCCCCCCCCCTTTCAAAAATGATGCCACGTGCCTGAAGTGGAGACAGTCCTTCGGATGATACCGTAAAAACAAAGGTCCAAAGTAGGTGCTTGCTTGAAAGATCCCTTACTGGTCAATGGCTTTGGGTGCAAAGCATAGTGTATAGGCCCTGAGTTATCGTTCATATTTATTACTTCCCTTGTGAACATATGTAAATACTGTTTACAGAGTATGCGCTATTGGTTTTATTTTGTATGCTGATGTTGCTGATAATTTGGAGATTACATACTTAATTTAATTGCATTAAATATAAAATTAACCTTATAACAAGGATGATTGGAGATCGTTGGTGACCGTTGGTGATTTATAGGTAACGGCATTGGTGCACGTGTTGGTGATTTGGTAATTATGGCAATAAAATAGCGCTATCTCAATTCTGTAAACAGATCATATCTGTATACGATAACTGGGTTCTTTTTATATTTAATTTTGTTGTTAAACATCGCTGGCATCCCACACAAATCATATTTCCCCCTAGAATTACTTCTCCATACACCTTGTAAACATTGGTAACCGGAAACTTCCGGTTATGGGGTTTTGTAAAGTCACCAAACTCGGTGACGTCAACTTGCGCACTACGTCATTATTTACATCGGTGACACAAAAGAGTATAAGCAGGCGTTTCGGAGTCGGAGCAGTCAGATAGAGAGAGCAGTAGAGGCAGAATGTAAGTTTGGGCAACAGTTATACAGACACTGCAAACACTTATTTAAAAAGTTACAGACATTAAAGTTTATCTATATTATATATATACCTATACGTTGGGTGCCAGTCGATATACCCCCCCCCCCTTTTATTTATAACCCGTGTTACAAAACGTAAGCTGCGCTAGAGTATTGATTAAATTGGATAATTCAACTTACCAACCAAGAGTTTTTCAGGGATGTACTTTTATTATTTATTGAATTAATTTAATCTCACAATAAACTCATTTAAACTTTGAAACAGCGTCTTTATTGAAAACTAGTCGGGCACGTTACAATAGGATAAAATTTGCAGCTCTCTAGGCCTACCGGCAAGTGGTGGTGTCTCCGTATGAGTAAAAATTCTCTAGAGGGACGTTCAGTGGCGTAGCGTGCCTCAAATATATGTGTAGGCACTAGAAAATGAAGCCGAAGGCTTCATTGAGGCGCGAAGCGCCGAAAGGGGGCAGGTGCGGGAGGGGGTCACCCCCTCCTGTATGGGGGATTTGGGGGACCTCCCCCGAGAAAATTTTGAAAAATAGACGCAAAATTAGCATTTGGAAAGAAGAAAATAATTGTTAATTTAAACAAAATATGTAATAACTATGCTTGTTATAATAGTTTTATAACTGGGCATTTTGGGAATTTCGCCCATTAAGCAGTCTAGTAAGTTTTTATAAAGCAAACTCTTATAAATTCCAAAGATATATGTCATATCAAAGTACATAAAAGTTGAAAAAAATTTCTAAGCAGATTAATTTTGGAAACTATGATACATACGTATATAGGCATTTATATTATTTGTTATAAATTTGAATAAATATTTTCCAAAATTGGTATTTAAGTAATATGCTGTCATTGTACTGTAGAAACAGATAAATTTTATACACACACACACACACAGAGAGAGAGAGAGAGTCGGTCTTAGCCGATTCCGTCGTAGCCCCTCACTCTCCCTATGCATGAACATGTGTCAAACAAATTTTAATATACTAGTATCAGGAACGCTGCTGAGCGAACGGAAAAATGGAAAGAACGTTTTAAGGATTTGAAACGGCATGTAAGTTTGATGCTAAATTTCGGTTTAATTCGAACGACAACACATTACGCTACAATAACTTTGTTAATTGGGATTAAAAGAGCAAAAGGTTTCCACTTTGTTGTGAGAAACTTGATTTTTCCTAATTTGTCAGAGATTGCAGGAATGTTTCAGGGCATCTTTGTATGGGGTACTCAGTTTGACTGCTAACGCCACTAAGAGAAACAAGACTGTAGATTATGTTTTACAGCTATAAAATATATATGTACTGAATTATATATTTTTGAGTTTATTTATTATTGACAAATTAATTCATTACATTAATTTTATTTTTTAAAAAAACATGACCATATATTTTGCCCAAAATTATGTGTAGGCATTTGCCTTTTTGCCTTAATGGACGCTACGCCACTGAGTTGAACAACAAACAACCATTTTGCAGATAAGTGAGAAAAAATTAATGTTTTTGGAGCAGGTCTCATTTCCAATTAACTAAGTCAGCCCTTTGTTGACCAAACTTGCATGATACATCTAGATGCACATTAGGACTTACTCATTGGCGTCGGAAGGAAATTAAAAAAAAGGGGGGGATAATTAGAATAGAAAAAAATCAATTCTAAAATAAAAATTGACATGCAAAAAAAAAAAAAAAAAAAAGGAAAAATTCTCAAAACAAAAAAAAATCCTATTGAGGGTGTGTGTGTATTTAGGATCAAACTTCTTTTAGTATCGATTTTCTCAAAGCCTACCAATTACCGTTCTTTGCCTACACTGTAACCTCCTGTGTCTGTTGAAGTAAGTAAGTAAGTAAGTAAATATTTTATTATAGTGACATGTGTATAGACAACAAGTAAATACAATTTATAAACGTATAAAAATACATCATACCCGGCCCATTGGACCTATATGTCACTTTAATATATGTACAGTATTACTATAATCATTTAAAGATAGCGCGCATGATGGACATTATATTTTAAATTTGATTGATATAAATATTTTTGTCTTAGTGAAAAACATAAATTTAAAAACTTGGCAGTTTGTCTCTGATGATTTTTCATTAAAATGTTTAAATTTTCAACTGGAGCTACATTATCTATTTAAATTAACATTATGAAAGAAAGTTTCTCTGATATTTTCGTAGATTTTACCATACCATTCATAACCCAAGTCTTTTAAATCAAGTCCCGTAACTCCAGGTAAATGTGTTTCACAAACACAATGTCAGCCTTTACACATTTGATCAATGTTCGTCTTAAATCATGATTGTTCGATGTCCAGCCACCAACATTTAAATGACAGAAAGTTAATGAGTTTTCAATGAACCGGATCGGATCCTATCCTTCACTATTGTCCTGAAAGTGGTGTTGGTGGAGGGGGGGGGGGTTAAACCTACACCCAAATGTTCAGTGCCTATATTATTTCTTCGCCTCCGTCTCCCATATGATAAAAATGGCAATGTCCATGATATGCAAACAATATATTCTAGAAGACATACTAGATGTGGATACTGACAAATTCCGAAGAAGTTAATCTATGTTCTCCAGTGTAATTTAACTAATTTTACAAGTTCACCGAAGCTAGTTTTTTTTGCACACACCTATAACCTTATGTAGACCATATCACACCCATATTAAAGTAACACAAACACAAAGTTTGATGGATGAATTTGTCATTTATTATACGTGTATAAATGACGAAAGATAATCAAAAGATACATCAAATAAAGGGGAGATAACTATTTTAAAAATTTGTAAATTTGTACAAAACATTAGATGATCTCCCCAGTGTAACATACTACATCAAGAAAATCCAAATAAACAATCCAGAATCTGAAAAATAGCAATCAGCAAATTTTCGTACAGGACGTATGGACAATTTGAAATCACATGATTATACCAAAATCAACAGCTTAAAAACTTACGACTTTTCAGCTTTACACACAACCATTCCCTATGATAAATTAAAGTCCATGCCGGCTTTTTGATATCACCTTTGGCTTCCTAAAACTTCCCTTACTTATGCAGCAATATAGCTGAAAATCTGCAGCGTTATGGTTTTATAATTATATTTGTCAATAAATATTCTCCATACTATACATGGGCTGCTGGGGTATCACTCACTCAATTCCATATAATATTCTAACCGAGTTAAACAGTCTAGCTCCTCTGGTTGTGGGTAAAATTCAGGTTCTTCTGCAACGAATGATGATCTCCAGTTATCCATTCTCCAAAATTGTATCCACACTAAGTAGTTCTAGTTCCTTCTTCTCTTCAGAAATATCCTGAAAAATAGATAGATGAAAAAAGATTCACTATGTAAATTCAGATAATTATATACAAAAGAATACATTGAGATCGAAAACTAAAATAATTTGTTATTCTTCAGCCAATTTTAATTATATAATATATACTGAGACAAGTTTGGAATGAAAATCTGCAATTGAAATAAACCATATACCAATAAGCGTACAGTGTGTGTACACTAAAAATTTCAAGACATTTTCTATCATGTAAACAAGCACTCCCTAACCATGTACATGTATGTGCGCGGGCTGGAAATGAAAATTTTGTACATGCGCGATTGTAGTATAATTGTTGCATGTTAGGGAACATAAATGTAAGCAAGCGCAGGTACCTAACTGGATTACATTTATTTATCAGGAATCAATGGTGTGTGTGTTGGGGGGGGGGGGGGGGGTCTTTTAAGACTCACCTCTCAACTTTAAGTATGATCTTCGTTTAAAATCCCTTTTCTTTATCAAGTAATGTATGCTTCTCAGGATTCACAATAACAGATGAATGTCCCTGCAAATTAATCAGATATCAAGACTACAATATTTTATGTCTATATCAGCGCATGGCCGCATTGCACTCAGACGATTACTAAGTATAGGAAAAAACCCTGCATTTCAAAAATGAAAAACATTTCAGATCTCTAATCATGTATTAAGCATTCTTTTTTGAAAGATTTAACATGAAGAAATGTATAAATACCTCCTATTTCATTGCTGGATATGGTGTTTCTTTGTCAGTATATGCGTGATTCTACATCTTCTGCGTTCAAATACCATGTTATGACATAATCAACTGCGTCATTTTCTATCATAACGTATTAAACACTGGTGTTTAATTTGCAATTTCTATATAAATACCATGTGTTTAATTCATAAATATATATGATTAAGAAATGAACACTCGTGTTAAACACCAGTGATTAAAATATTAATACAATAATAGAAATCATCATAATATTGGTTTTTATTTCCCCTTTAGAAGTTTGTAAAAAATTTAAAATTTTGGCACAAAATTACTACTAATTAATGCTAATTGTAATTGCTTTTGGTATGATCTAAAGTCAACATATTGCCTTGTGATTCATATTTTTTTCTGTGTCGAAAAATGTTTACCATTATGTGCGGAATTGCTTCATAAATTAAGATATTGTAAAAATGGTGAATTCCTACAGCAAATACTGAGAAGCAACACCTACTTTATTTGTTGATTTGATGCATATGAACATTACGTGTTTAAGACGGATGATTAAACACCCTACTTATTGAACACCAGTTTAAATATCAGTGTTTATATATAAAATACTAATGTTTTGTATTTAAACCCTCTATGTTTAATTGTAAAACACGACTGTTTAAAAATAAAACACAAGTTAAACATCATTTTTTGATTGCCATAGATAAAATTTTAGTTCTCTAAAATTACGTTTCTTCATACATGTAATATTGAAAATGCATTTTATTAGCGTGTACGATATTTGGCGGAAATTGACTTTTGAACACGTTATCGTTGATTTGAGTTAGCGCAGTTCTTATGCCCCCGTTCACATTCGAGTTTTGCCCGTTTTCGCCAAAATCGAAGCGTAACACAATCGTAATATGATCGGCACCACCGTAGCGATATCGTCGTACTTTCATCTAAGTCTGAGTAGCGTTGTAGTATTGTCTTGAATGTCGTAAAGCGACAGCGTAGCGGCCGCTGGTCGCCAACGGTCTGCGTAACATCTTACATGTAGAAGCTGTTAGCAGCGCGTTTGACGTAGGACAATTATTTGACAAATTGTTCGATTTAGATGCAGATCGGTTCCGATCCGCCCGGTCCAAAACTTTTTAGATCGTGGCTTGATTGGGGTGATCGTCAATAAGTCGCAGTTCTTATTGAAAAGGGGGGGGGGTAATATTCTCTATAATCTATATATGTACAAGACATTTAGCGTTGTACGTGTATTAGCGGAAGTCCCTTTCCATCAAAAGTGTGAAAAAAGAATACACAGCCAAATGTAACACGTTTGTAGTACCTAGGGCCATTTCTACTATTTGCACTACAAAAGACATTTCCAATTAAAAAAAGGTCCCAGTTCCAGAATTGTGGCTAATTTTTACTAACTCACTTCTTTTCTCCATAGTATGATTTTCAATAAATCCTTAATATGGATACTATTTAATATCAGTATTTTAACATTCAGCACTGAAGTATCTTTTTCAGATAACGAGAACTATGAATTCAAAGAAAACAGTCTTTGTTATTCTTTTTATGAGCGGATGGTTAATCATTAATGCCACCACGTCTATTATAAAGGTATGTACACCTACGATGTTCTGTACATGGGATTTTGTCTTCCGGATATTCAATAATGTTTGAATACATAAAAACCAATAAATACAATATCATAAGAGCGGACTCGTTTTTTGCTGCCATGGTAACAATTTTCCATTTTCTATTAAATATAAATTCAGCTTTAAAAGGGTTTGTTCCTGTAGGTATGCTAAAAAGGTTAGTCGTGGCAGTAAGCAGCTCATAGTGGCAGAAACGTGCGTATTTAGCGATGGCGTTCGAAGTTCGTGGATTCCAATAATTTATAACTAAGAATTGGAATTATGTTATAAAACATGCTAAGTATTTAAAATTCTAAAATTATGAAAAATCATAGCTATTTGAAATTTAATGCCAGTATTATCCACATTTTAAAATATGTAAATTTAACTCTGTCCACTGTAGGCCAGAGATGTCCGAGAGTTGTCAAAGTCAAAATATAAGATGGATGGATGTACTTTATCATCTTCTGTATGATGTTCACCGTGTGGAGTCAAAAATAGAAAACTTGGAGAAAAGCAAGAGGGATATGAATAAAGAAATCAGAACACTTAAACATCGTGAGTAATAATTGTTGAAGTTAAAATGTATAGTTTAAAGCAACAAGACTTTCAAGTGACGTTTGAATGATTAAAGTAAAGTTATAATATACGGTTAAAGGAAATTCTTTAATAATATGCTTCTCAATTAAAGGAACAATTAATATTCGTAAATTCTAATGATTTCGTACATGCCTACGTTATGGTTATGCCCCATCAATTTTAATGGCTGATGACCTTTTTTGGATTGTCTAAATAAAAACTGTGCCCCACACCGCCAAAAACAATGAAAATTTTGCCCATGGGCAAGTATTGTCTAATTTAAACATTATATGATTTGAGGAAATATTAAATGGACTTTAAGCAAACAAAAATACACCATTGCCTTTCTGGTAAATGCTGTATTGTTGTATTGTTAAGAATTTCAAAAGATAATTATATATAGCTGAGGAGATAAAAAAAAGACCTAATTTTGCAAGAAGACAATCATAATCATATACATTTCTGCTGTACATATTTTTTCAGGGAGAAACACTGTATGTAAGTAGTTTAACTATATATTTTGTCGATTTATTATAACAAGAAAAGTAAGATATAGTCGATATATTAACTTTCTAACAATATTATTGTTTTTAAAGATGTAAGGTTCGATTCACAATTAGCTGACACAACCTTACTAAATACATTTTATTTTGATAATAGGTGAATCAGGCGTGATCAAATTATACCACGGAGTTCATCGCTTCTCCTGGCCATATGTCAAACATATTTATTTCAAGAAACATTTTGAGAAACCACCTGTGATAACCTATGGAATCTTCACACTCGATACTTCGCATAAGAAAAACACACGATTTCGTACTGATGTGGTGTACATCACGAAGTCAAAGTTTGCATTAAAGTTGCGCACTTGGAATGACTCGATAACATACGGAGTGGGATTAAGCTGGATGGCATGTGGAAAATGATAATTTAAACAACAAGACAAGCACCACTTCCAATTATATTTATAAGCATTTTTCACCTTGCTTAAAATGATGGAATTTAGAACTTTAACAAAAAGCTGTATTTATCAAATAAAAGGACAAACAAGTACTAGAGTTCGTTTTTCGGTTTTGTATAAGCTAGGGCATTGCAATCAAATCAATTTTTTCCAAACCCAAGAGCACTTTATGTAAGAAGTGGGAGATGATTAGGCAGCTTCGGTTCCCATGTAAACAGAGATTTGAAAAAAAAAACTGCTACATTTTCTCTGCTTAAGAGCCTGTCAACGAGAAAACCATGCAAATATAGGCTGTGGTAGGCAATCTCAAGAAAAAAGTTGATTTTTTTAATTATTAACTTAAATGACACCCATTGAAAGTCAGAAATATGTTGTTTCTATTTTTAGTAACAGCCAATAATTCATTCTGGTCAATATTCCAGTAAAAAATGCAAAAAGTTGGTGTAAAAATGACAATTTCAATATTTAAAAGTAAAAAAGATAAAAACAATTAGGAAGACTGAGATCAAATGTGAGCTCGTCTAAGTTTTATGGCCCCCAGGCTTGATGTCTGTCATATAATCGTTTTAGGCATAAAATATGTGTGATTTTAAGAAAATTGTCTCTTCCTGTGAATGAAAGTTGTTACATATAAACTAGTGGCCTAAGTATAAAATACATAAAAAAAACTAGAGGTACTGTGAGCAATGAGCTCACTAAATGATAACCCCCCCCCCCTCCCGCCTCCCATATGAATATAATGGCAGTGTCCATGTTTTGATGTGGAAAACCCAAAATATGTGTCGGATCAAAAAGTAAAATAGAAGGTGCACAATGACATTATATGTAAGGCCATTTCAAGTTTTTTCTATGTTTAGCGTCAGCGTGCGCCTTGGTGTTTGACACCCCATATGAGAAAAAACACACAGCATCAGGAGTCCTGAAATTGATTAATAGATATGTCTTCTATTAAAGCAATTTAGTTAGATCAAATCATTTGAAGAGCGTCATTTTTATGACTTTTAAGCCTGTGTTTTATGTTTTGGCTTGTGTGTTTTTTGCAAATAGATAGGTAGGTTTTTGAAAGATGGATGGACGCTAAACAGAGAAAAAACTTGGAATGGCCTAATGAAGATTCAGTGAAAAGAAGATTGGGGGATAAGACGGGCAGAATGCCTATAGCGCGAAAGATAAGAAGTGAAAAATATAATCTCAATTAATATCCAAATTTTATTTCATATTTCATCTAATATTAAAGTATACTTTAATGTAAAATACTGGTATCTACAATTTACAAAAATCTCACAAAGGCTGAAATTATTTGCCAATGAAAAAGCATACACACACTAAAAAGAACAAAAACGATCATTTTCTCATACTTTAACAAAATTTTTCAATATGAGTGGGTCTTCGCTCCAGTTTTTTGAAAGATAATCCTAAAAGTTTGGGATAAAAAAAATATTTTTTGGTTTACAAAAAATGGAGCGAAGACCCACTATACCTTGTAAGTACACTTTTGTGACAAAACATTCGCATCTTTCCTAAAAATACTTCAAGTCCATTAAGTCAAGGGTCATATCACAAACACGATTTAAATATGAAATGTTGAGCATCTTACTGACCTCCCCTGTCTTGGACAATCACAGATCAGTGCCAGCAATCAGACAGCAGTTGTTAGAAACATATGATAACATTGTTAGAAATATTGATGAAGGCAAATCCTGCTGTATGATTTTTTGTGACTTATCTAAGGCCTTTGACCGTGTCTGGCACAAAGGACTCTTATTTAAATTAAAAATGTATGGTGTAAAGAAAGATATGTATAGTTGGTTAAAAAGCTATTTAGAGAATAGAACGCAAAGAGTGATATACAAAAACCTGGTATCCCCTACTGAATCCCTTTATGCAGGTGTTCCACAAGGCTCTGTATTAGGTCCTTTGTTATTTTTAATTTATGTGAACGATGTAGCTGATAAGATGTCAAGCTTTTGTAGACTTTTTGCTGATGATAACAGTTTGCAGTATGCATCTAAATGTGTCAAATCTATAGAAGGTCATCTGAATAATGATCTTTTATCTCTTGAAGAATGGTCTAAAAAATGGTTGCTAAAATTTAATCCCTCTAAAACTATTGTATTTTTTAACACAAGAAAAAACAAAGAATTTCCAAAACTCCTTTTCCAGGATAGCCAATTAGAATATGTTCAACTCATAAGCATCTTGGGGTAACTTTTTCATACAACTTAAGTTGGTCATCTCACATTGAAATCTTGCTGTCTAATGCATACAAAAAAATAGGTCTTTTGAAAAAACTTAAGTTTAAAATAAATCGAAAAAACCCTTTCACTTATGTATACTTCATTTATCCGTCCCCAACTTGAGTACGCTTCAGTTGTATGGGGTGGTTGTCTATCCATCGATTCTGAAAAATTAGAGAAATTGCAACTACACGCATCTCGGATTGTTACTGGACTAACTATGATTGCCTCTAGAGACTCTTTGTATTTTGAAACAGGCTGGGAGCCACTCAGCGACAGACGCAAGATCCAAAGATTAAATACCATGTACAAAATTCACAATGATTTAGTACCAGATTACCTATCTGAGATTATACCTGATATGCAATGTAATGCTTCTGCATATACAACAAGAAACTCACAAAATTATAGTACACCTGTATGTAAATTGCAAACTTACAAATCATCATTTGTACCAACTGTAATAAATGAGTGGAATTCCTTACCGCTAAATACGTAATAGTTATTGTATATTTATTATGGTGTATCCTGATTTATTTGGACGAGGGGCGGTGACGAGTGCGAAGCACGAGTCTCCGGCCTTCGTCCAAATAAATCAGGATACACCATAATAAATATTCAATAACTTTCTTGTATCATGGCCAATCAAACATCATGTCACAAATTCCCATGCATGATTTTTAAGTACACCAATAGAATATGTAGTTTTTGTCAAATGACTGCATGGATAATCTCTCCTTCCTCACATTTTTATACACCCGCTTGAAAAGTGGGAGGGTATATAGTAATCGGTATTTCCGTCCGTCTAGCTGTACGTCCGTCCGTCCGTCTGTTACGCCTTGGGGTACCCATCTCTTATCCGCAACTCCTGTAAAACCACTGAAGGAAATTTGATGAAACTTTCACAGAATCTTTTTTACATATTGCCATTGTGCACCTCCTATTTTACTTTTTGATCTAACATATATTTAGGATTTTCCAGAGGAAAACATGGATACTGCCATTATATTCATATGGGAGGCGGGGGGTATTATTTAGTGAGCTCACTGCTCACAATACCTCTAGGCTCTAGTTTTAATTTACACATTTTACGTTTGTGTGTTCATGAGAAATGACGTCCGATTGCAGCATCCAAGCTTAATATACTAACACGGATTGTTAATGAAATTCACAAGAAAACCTTTTGATATCAAAGAAGAAAAATTCGAAGTTGAAGAAGGAAAATGCAGACCTGTGTATTCAAAAAAAAGATACCCGTTGATCATTTGACATATTCGAAAGTTGTCAGGCCCGTAACTCTTCATCTGTGGATGCAGTACAGCTGCGCTTTATTCTTGTTGAACAAAGAACACAGCAAAGATGGTAAATTTTCTACTAAAGCGCTATATTACAAATGATGTGATATTTTAATATATATTTGTGTAGAATTAATGTCGAGAACTTGATTTTCGTTGCGATGGATGGAATAATTGCACTGCAGCAGAGTTCCGTAAAAGCATTTCGTAGTTTGGGATACGCACTGTAATTTATGTGAAAGACTTTTATTTCACTTGCAGAAATTTTGTCTTTGTACATGTAACAAAGCCCATTTCATTGTGTAATTCAGATTAAATATACATGTAATTTAAAATGATGAAATCACTTTGGTGTTAAGTAATTTATTTACACGGCACAGTTTTAGCTGGCTCCGCCCATCGGTGTATCTCCAGTTATTGTACACTTGACTTCAAAGGAAAAACACCGCAGCCATGATACAACAGACTTTCGAGCTCTTTGTCTGTTTTCAAAAGTAAAATTAAACAAAAAATAACAGAAGCTCCGCCATATTTTAATTTTGGTAAAAGACGCAACAATATACTGCATACACGGCTTCGGCACAAAATAGCACGCTGATCTTTATAGATGTAATATAATATCTAGTCCACTATGTTCCTGCGGTAAGGTAGAAAATACACATCATTATTTTTTCTCGTGCCCTAACTACAACGAGGCCAGGAAAGAGTTTTTCGATAAGTTCTTGAGATTTAATAAATCCATATTGTTGACATTCAGACTTTACTCTGGGGGGATACATCACTCAGTATTGCTGAAAATGAATATCTATTTTCTATTGTACATTCTTATATTCAGCATTCTGGTAGATTTAACTGATTGTACTCATTTTTTAAACTATTTGTATAAACAATAATGTAGCAGTCTATATATGTCCACAATGAGAGTTTATCTAATTTACTTGTAATTTAATTTGTACAAACCGTTGAACACTTCTAATTCATCCTGTTATAATATCTCATGTAGGGAGAGGGCGATTTAAGTTTTTAGAACTTGTGCCCAATCCCATTGTATATATTTAGTGCAATAAAATATGTTCAAAGAAAAAAAAAGCAGTTGTTCAATTCCAAAAGCTGAAAGAAAAAGAGAAAATTTTAGAGAGTATACATCAAGTATAAAAAATGAAAAAATAATACAAACTTAAGAGTCAGTTGATTGTATATCTTTAATTTGGCTGCTGTAGACTGTAATTTTAGGGACAGCTTTATCTTGTTTTCTAAATGCTCATTGTCTCTGCTACTGGTGTAAAATTGTCCACTTCTGACTAGCAACTGGTCTGATTTTTTAAGTCACCCATCCAGGCTATAACTGCATGCAATTCCACAATCAGCTAAAAATGAGCCACTGAAAAAAAAATTAAAGCATTTTTAACTTCAGTTCACATTCATAATTAATGTGTCAACTATAATTACAGACACCAAGTGACCAAGTAGCCAATTTTTTGAGAAATTAGGCATTCCTTTCCTACTAACAGCAGTGTAATCCAACGATCAAATGCTAAAAACATTTACCTTA